TAAGCTTTTGGCCTCAGTGCTATCCTGTGGCAGAGTTCAGCAAAAAGTATTTGGTTTACTTTTGTTCTGATAAAATTAAAATGGGGGGGCTTAGTTGAAGGAAGGAAATGTTACAAGGTGTTACAAGATGATTCTATATCCAGACAAGTGAGCCAACTCAGCCTTGCTTAGCTGGTAAAAGTGAACAATACTGCTGCTACATAATGGGATTGTAATTTATAGGAAAGAAGGAGGAACTCTAGTAAAATAAAGTACAATAAAGAAGATGTACTCTATAAAATAAAGTGAAGTGTTGAAGTTATTTGTGGCTCCCGGGCTTGTCAAAGATAATTTAAAACTACATGTTAATTCAGTACACTTATTTAACAGGGATAAAATGAATGAAAAAAAGGCAAAATAAATCTTAGATGCTGTGACTACAAGAGTCAAACAGCTCACTTTTATCCCTGCTGTGTATGCTCATGGACCAGTGACAACTACAATGGTGAAAGGTTACTACTTCCAGCTTTGCCTGAATTACTTACAGAGCATACAACAAAGGGGAAAAGTTTGCCCTTCACAGCCTCAGTTTCTCAGCTACTCTGTTTAACTGATGCCCAAATAAAAGAAAGCAATTAGTTTTAAATCAGATGGGATTTAAAATTCCCAATATACCAATAATCAGTTTATTCTCTACTCCTGGTGCTACAGCTATTTCTAGGGAATGGTCTAACACACCACACCACAACTGATGCCTAGATTCAGATGCTTCTAGCTTACAGAAGTGGACTGAAACTATTAGAAAGTAACAAAACAAGGTGTGTTCATATTTAGCGCCCCCCCTGTTTAGTGTACTACCAGAACTCAGAGCATTAGACTGTTCTGTCTTTAAGGTATTTATAGTGGACCCGTTGCCAAATACCAGTAATTAAACATCAAACTGAAAACTAAAGTATTATACATAAAGGATACTTGTTTCTTCCATTTCTCATTTCTCGTAGTTACACAGAACGGTTCCCCAATCCCTTTTCTGCTTTTAGTCAACGTTTTCTGTCTCATCTCACTTGTGGTGCTAGTAGCAATGTAACTTGATAATTTCATAAGAATCTTTTTTCTTACTAGCTCATTAAAAGATTATTACTGAGTTTTGCTTCGCAGTTACTATTAAGTGGGTATCATTATTGTGTTAAGGACCTTTGGATTCCACAGCTCTTTTAGGGGCACATGTTGTTTTAGGGCTGTTGATACAGAGTAACTAATACTCATTTAGTGTTTCTCACAGACTCCCTCTAGAGGCTCATAGGGATAAAACCTCTAATTAGTATACCTCTCTATAATTAATAATGATTTCCATGTGAATGTGGGTAGAGTGTGAGAATCAGGATCTTGTTTCCAAAATGTCATCATGGTGAAAGACCCTAGTCTGAACTCAAACAGTCACCTGGGTCTGTTGACCAGCTGTAGGTCTTTCCATCAGCAGAAACTTCCTTTGCATGCACACCTGAAACATATTTAGGGAACCAGGCTTGGCTCTTCTTTCTATTCTAGCATATAATCTGTCATGGGAAGGCATTATTTCTGCTGTGATCTCTAGAGACATGGCTGTTCCCTGGAAATTTTTTATCTATTTCTGTTGTTACACCAGGCTGCTTTCTTCTAGCATCTTATGTTCTCCCAGCTCCAAGGATGATGTGGTACCTGATGAGACTCTTGAGTTGCTGCTAGTTCCTGATAATAAGCTGCCTGAGTTACCTCCATTGTTGCTGCTGCCACCAGGTATGAGACATGGCTATACCCTCCTGCCTCCCCTTCTCAAGGTGCTGTCTGATCAGAGACACCAGCACTGGGAAAGTGAGGTCCCAAGGCTCCAACCAGACTCCAGAGCCCTTAGGTACATGAAGAGACTGTACAAGATGTCTGCCACCAAAGAAGGGATCCCAAAAGTCAAGAGAAGTCACCTTTATAACACTGTCCGTCTCTTCACTCCACATGCTGAGTGCAAATACCATCATAGGAATGAAATGAAAGGTATGTTGGGGTGTCCTGGGATGGGGGGAGAGCGGGTGATATGAAAAAAGTGAAAAACTTCCTTGTTAACTAAAATGGAGTAAAGAAAGCTCTAATCCAACAGATCTGTAACTTAAAATCTGCTGAGTGGCTTTTCCTTTAAGCTGTTAGGGTACTTCTGAAATCTAAGCTAAGGCTTCTCACCACTTGCGCCTCTACACCCGAGCAATACCTACCTCAAGTCCTACTGCTGCTTAGTCAAAACTCCAGTTAAGTACTATCTAGGATTATAACTACTGTCTCGAAGATTATAAACTCGCTAGCTTCTTGGAAAATAGCAGGAAAAAAAGACATCCCATAAAATCTACTGGATGCCTTCTATCTTTTTACTGCCTCTTTCAATTCTGCTTTTGGTAAGGCAGTGAAAACAGCAATGATCCATTACAAGGCAGCTTTTTAATTGGGCTAGGTCTGCTTTCCTTGTAACATTAACCAAAGAAAAATCCCACCCCACTTCTGTAAACATCCATAAGTATAAAATAGAATGTCTAGTAAATTAGATGTAAGGTAGACAAACTTACATGGCTGGGCAATTTCAAGGAAAACATGATTGTGCAGGGTGATAGATGTGATCTGGTTACAACACTGACAACAAGAGTCGAGACTTCTAATTGTATACATGGCTACGGATAAGTTGCTTCAGGTCTTGGGTTTCCTCACCTGTAAAATAGGATAATCCTGTCTAAAGATATAAATAGTTTCTCTCCTGAAGGAGAGAAGTGCTTTGAAGTGAAGACTCACTAAAAACTTATAAATACTTATAGAATATAAACTAAAAAAAATACAGGATATGCCCTTTGAATAGAAGGCTTTATGCAGCATAAGAATCTATTGTTTAAGTGAGACCTATTAACAATGGGTATGTGTTCATTTTAACATGCCTTAAATATTACTTTTAATAAATCTGGTAGGAAAAGTTTGAACCAAGCCACCAAAAACTGTTCTGAAGATGCTTTATTCAAATTGGAAGTCAAGTGTCGTACCTAAGGAATAAAGTCCTGATTTGACTTTAAGGCATGGACTGTGCTGGTAAACTCAAAAGCAAACCATTTTAGTTGCTCAAGGCATGAAACTGAATTGAAAATACTATATAATATACTGTATAAAATTAATATCAACATGTTGTTTGGTATTCTGCATTACTAGTCAACACATTTAAAAACAAAATTTGCAGTGTTAGGGCTCTGGAGCCTGAAAATTTTAAAAGCATGGACAAGATCTTGGGAGATGAGTAAAATTGGTGCCACCTCTTAGAGTACGCAAAAAATGGTGTAGAGTTGGTGGATGAAGAGCTTCTGATTCTCTCATTTCATAATCCAAGCACAGGGGAACAGTCCGAAACCTGAAAGGCAGCAGATTTAAAAAGTGACTGAAGGAAATACTTTTTCACACAACTTATAATTAAATAATCAAACCCTTTTTGTTAAAGATACCACTGAAGCCAAGAATCTAGCAGGACTGAAAAGGGGATTGGACATCCATACGGATAACCACAGTATCCATAATTGATGCTAGAAAAGCTGTGGAAAGGCTAAAAGACCTCTACTTTTAGGGTTTAAACCAATCTTTAGCTACAAAGTGTTAAGTGCTCAAGGGGTAGATAATCCCATGTGTATTAACATCAGTTTCTTGCACACTTTTCTGAGGCTTCTAGTAGTGGCCACTTATGAAAACAGGATATTGGACTAGATAAACCGCAGGTCTGAGCCAGAGTAGGGCAATACTGATGCAATGAAAGGACACTGTCTAGTAGCCTGGTTGTGTAACTTCTAGTATCTCTTAGAACCAA